ATATAACCACTCAGCTACCTAGCTATTCGTATAAACTACTTCAACCGAAAGGAGATCAAACGAATTTCTCCCACTGAAAATGTAACAGCAATACAACTGGTAGTTGATTTTATATTCAAACAAAATATTATGCTGATTTGAGTGAATGCCACTGTTTCTAATTTTTGTAAGAATACAAATTTCTGAACACTCTTATCGGAATACACTATTTAGGGACGTATCATCAAACTTTTCCTGTTTAACACGATGACGTGCACTCCAGTACTGGCTGGATGACAGGTAGCGGTGTGGCTGTTATCAGTGTATCAGAGATCTGTTATCAGTAGTGGACACTAGGCAGCTCCTGCGTGACACCTCACTATCAGTCCCCCAGGACATGCGTGTCCTTCCCTCCCCCCCCCCCTCTACCATGGTGAGAGTGAAACTCATCAAATCTAGAGAGACCGTTTACGTTACCGTTGATTCCTCGCGGTTTTGAAGTTTTGGAATCTTCACTATTTTTCCCTTTGGGTAATTGCTTAATTAAGGGGATTACTCGGTTAAGTAATGAAGTGCCACATTTTTCTGGAAGGGTGAAGAAACTACAGTTTTTAAATGGATTGTGTTATTAATGTGTTTTTATGTTTCCTCTTGGTCGAATCACCAGGTATATGAATAGTTTATAGTAGTAGGACTGTCGTGTATCAGTATTTTTTTACGAGGAACATGTAAACTTTGATTGTTTTATTGAACATATTGGTCCTTCGAGGCAGATAATGGATCGATAGTCGACAGTAAATTTGGTCTTTTGCTAGCTTATCTACAAACAAAGTCTCACTCACTCTCAGCAATTCTCTCAGGCGTCTCTCTACCGGTAAATTTATCTAAATATTAGTAAATATTTACTAACACTAACCCCGCGACGTCTCACACTCAAAATTACTCCATCGCGACGTCACACACACACACTAGCACTAACCCCGCGACGTCTCACACACACTAACACCAACCCCGTGACGTCTCACACACACTAACAATAGCCCTGCGACGTCTCACACACACACTAAGACTAACCCCGCGACGTCTCACACACACTAACACTAGCCCCGCGACGTCTCACACACACTAACACCAACCCCGTGACGTCTCACACACACTAACAATAGCCCCGCGACGTCTCACACACACACTAAGACTAACCCCGCGACGTCTCACACACACTAACACCAAACCCGTGATGTCTCACACACACTAACACCAACCCCGCGACGTCTCACACACACTAACACCAACCCCGCGACGTCTCACACACACACTAACACCAACACTGTGAAGTCTCACACACACTAACACCAACACTGTGAAGTCTCACACACACTAACACCAACCCCACGACGTCTCACACACACTAACACCAACCCCGCGACGTCTCACACACACTAACACTAACCCCACGACGTCTCACACACACTAACACCAAACCCGCGACGTCTCACACACACTAACACCAACCCCGCGACGTCTCACACACACTAACACCAACCTCGTGACGTCTCACACACACTAACACTAGCCCCGCGACGTCTCACACACACTAAGACTAACCCCGCGACGTCTCACACACACTAACACCAAACCCGCGACGTCTCACACACACTAACACCAACCCCGCGACGTCTTACACACACTAACACCAACACCGTGACGTCTCACACACAATAACACCAACCCCACGACGTCTCACACACACAACTCCATCGCGACGTCAACATCAGGCTAGATGAAGCGCGAACCAATTTCAACACTGTTAATCTTCTAATTTGCAATTCCCTTTGCTTCTAATCACACCTTCGCAGCTTCTCCGGTGAATTATTAAAGTCGCAGTTTGACACAAAGCCTACCTAATTGCTGCGATCTGCATTCCACTTTGATAACCGTTTGTTGTTCTTCTTAAAGGGTTTCTTGTTTTGTCTTAGAAAGATTTTAAGATTTTCCGTAAAATTTGTTTATCTTTTGGAGAGCTTTTATTTTGAAACGTATCTCGTGTTTGAGGGACTTGTATGTTTGATGATGTCTGTATACATTTGAATCGAATGGTTATGTTACCATATTTTCGTATCGGTCTTCAGAGTGTTGTCTTAAAATCGAAATTCTATCTTTTGGATAGCTTGACCTACAGCTTGTGGGGAAAATTCCTGTAAAAATGTATAATGATTTTGAGTTCAATTAATTTTCTGAAGGGTAAGTTTTAGTCCACAATGATGAAACACATCTAAAAGACCACCATCGTCCACTTTAAAATGAGCGTAATAAAGGGACTCGCCTTTCTAACTTAATATTTTGGGATCAAATCGAAAGAAAATGTAGGGAAATTTATTCTTTACTCAACTAAATGATTCTCCAATCACTAACACGATTCATTTGTTAGAAACATTGTTTTTCAAAGACTTAATCTAAATCAATCGTCAACTCAAAATAAAACAATCGATTTCAATTTTTCACAGTACCACATATAATACAACGCTTGCCCAACCCCCTCAGATATCAACTAAACGATTGTTACAATCCGAACTTAAATCGTAACCGGATCGAAAAGTCGGTTCTAGCAACAATAGCTATAAGCCGGCTCCGAGTCATCGCCGTCAAATTATAGATGTCACCGATGACGCTGTCGGATGACGGCCTAATGCAAATGGTATCCCAGGATTAACTACTTTAACCCCCATCGGGGAGGGCTGGGTTGCATCTAATGACTTATAGATCACGTTGCAGTCGTAGGTACTGTTCACTGTTGTCCTCCGTCCCTCTCTATCGATCCTTCGTGTTCGGGTACAATCAATTATCAGTTAGGCTCTCTCCCTCCCCCTCCCTCACTCTCTCTCGCTCTCCATAAGCCCACTTGTAGCGTCATATTGTGTTTTATAGCTCGTAAAACCCCCTGCCTGAGGTGAGGTGATTATAAGGTTTATGGTGATCGGATGATAAGTTTTGGTTAGTTTAATGTGTGTCGTTAACGTGTGCTTTAATTGTTAAATTACAACACGTGTACGGGAGAGGAATGTAGGAGGCATAAGCATATGAAATGTCTTATTAAGGTTTGATATGACGTAGTAGTGTATGAATTACCAGACGAGTTTTGTATCAAAATTCTAGGTTGAAAGGTTGCCAAACGCTCGCACAACAAGGTTTTTATCAAGCCATTATTGTTATTTATTAAAAACTTAGCGATCACATAGCTGGGTCCAATTTTGAACCGTCTAAAAAGATATAGAATGAAAGTCGTGTATTAGAAGTATGTTTTCTTATGTTTGATAATGTTTATTACTAAATCACTAAATGAGTTCAACGAAATAATTAGGTGTTTCATGGATTTTCTTCCAGGTCTTCCAGTACAGTTTTGTGAGAATATTACTTAACTCACAGTAGGCTATTTTGTCATAATAAATCAATCAAATATGTAAGTGGACAGTTAGGTAGGTCAGTCACAGTCAACGATGTAAAGTTCTGTTTATATCGGTAGACACAGTCAGTCCTTCAGTGATAAAGTGTACAATTAAAAGATAATGATTCAATAGTATGAAAACTGAAACTAGCCAAAATTTATTACAGAAACCAAAAAACTAACTATTAGCAAAGGTTGACAGCTCATTTCAAAGTAAACGTTTTGTCTCAAGCAACTAATCAAAGTTGAATTAACCAGTTCAATAGGATTTCCAGATTGGATCTATTTGAAAACCCCGTGAAAATCTTATAACTATTTCTCAAAAATGACGTTCCAAAAATAAATGATCAACTATCAACACACAGTTCACAGCGCAATAACACAGTCTATTTAACAGAAGTATCAACCCTTCCGACCCACATATGGAGGTTCCTAAGGGTTATTGAATGTCACAATCCATTGACAAGTGATGTTTCGAGTGGTCTTACCCTAACACGCGGGGCGGTGGGAACTGAGCGAGGGGGTGCACATGTTGCGCGACACACACGCACACACACACACAGACACACACACGCCACGCGCACTGGTGATCGCCGCCGCGCATAATTGCATCAGGCTCGCACGCACCGCAATAGATATAAACATGTTATTCTGTAATCTTCTAATGCGCGTGCCACCCAATTAGATGATTGCTGCACTTGACATCGTCGCGTGAATGCTGATTGGGGAGGTTTCCCTCACTGGCGAAATTGTCCGAATGCGAAAACCCCTATCGATTATAGAATTTAAATGTGGAACGGCAGATATGAGTAAATAAGTAGAAAATAATATAAGATTAAAGTGAAACCGTAATTCTAGTAGATGAGCACTGATTAAAAATCTAATTCGAGTGATAACATAAAGGCAAACTGTGAAAGAAATCTATATTTAAAGAGGCCAGCAACGAATGATGAATAACATAATGGAGTGAGTCCAGCAACAAGATAAATCAGTATGCAATGACGCTACGAGAGAGATCCAAATGCAAATAGATCCGTTATTAGCTTTAGCTAAATCTGTATATGAAGGAGGGAAAAGCGTTTGCAGAGTGACTTGCGACGTAAGATAACCGTACGCTTATAGACTTGGCTAGCTATTTTAAATCCCCTAATGCAGATAGTCCATCCACAAGACAAATTTGAATGCAGAAGGTCAAGCTAAGACAAATACCCTTATACGTAGAGATCAACAACTAGAGTGCCTAATGCGGAGATGGTATCTACAAGAAATGTGTAAAGAGGCCAGAAATAAAATAGTCAAAGTTAAATAAGCTGGGCAGTAAAGGCCATAATAATTGAGTACTTATTGTAGACTTTATTGTAGAAATTCGTGCCAAAACTGAAAATTTAAAATAATACGTTGTTGTAATTCAAAATTCCGTTAATTTAGGTCAAGATTAGTCGTTAAAGAATCCTAAAATACAAAAAGTTACGTGATTCTAAAAAAAACTTATTGATTTGATTGTATCATTGTCTTTACAACTATCAAACTCTTCTCCTTCCCCTACCGTACTAGAATTTGATATAATGTTTTGTTCCAGAGCCGGATATTGGAGGATGCCTCCATAATGTGCAATACATGGTCTCCCAGACATAATGTAGGTTAAACCATATTCTGAGGTGTCCACTAAGGTTCTATAAGTCCCCTTTATTAACAGAGATTCCTTTTCATGACACTCGTTTGCAATGCCTCAATAGATAAACTAATATCTTATATAAAAATTGTAATGAACCCTCTGTAAATATTCGAGCCCGACAATAAAGCCTTAGTGGACTCCTGGACACCTTTTTTCTAACTAATCTTAAGGCTCACATACATGTGTGCACATCGCGGCAAAATAAATGTTTGAGATTCAATCAATTCTTGACACCTCTGTTGGTCCCTTTCCCCAAGATCTTCTTTCTGTACAAACCCAAACTCTCCGTTTCGAGCTGGACTCGCGTAACTTCATCCTCAACTTTACTACTTCATCAGATTGTAATTGCATTTTCACAGTTTTGTCCACACAAGTAGACATCCTAAGTTGATGGAATCTTTTGTTCCAGACAAGGATACTGGAAGATGCCTCTATAATGTGCAATTCTTGGTCACCCAGACACAACGTATGTTTCTATATTTAATAACAACCCCAACCCATCCCCTTACGTTACAGCCAGCATGGTGCAAGCGACAGCATTGTGATGACGCATGAAATTATTGTTACGAACCGCATGACTCTTCGTTACGCATGATTATTCGATTTTTTACTTACATTTAATATGTCCAACCTATTTTTATTTACTTCATTAGTTTAAGTTGGATATTAGCGTTGAGGCAACAAGGGTTGATTATTGCATGTTTCATATTACTCATATTTTTAGGAAGCAAACAAAACAATATTTTCATGTAAATCATTAATTTACATTCATAAGCACTTGATGGACGAAGTGTACCTTTTACCAATTTTATATCAAAGTGTTTGGTTTCTAAAACTCATCATTACAAAGGAAATGATTTTAATGTTAATAGTTTTTGTATTGCTATTTACTTTTGAATTTTGCCATAGTATTTAGCACTTATTCAAAATTTCGAACTATTTTACGCTATATCTAAATATTTTATATGAGCTATAGGGAAGATTATCCCTATCGTATGGACGTGCTCAATTTAAATTCTTAAATCACAATACTATAAAATTTCATGGAGCTATAAATCTTACCTAATAATTTAATAATTATCTTATCAGATGAAAATTTCATATCGTAGATTTTGGATTTAGTTTCTGCGACTTTAAAACTTAAGCATCTTACAGACAACCCTAAAGTAACTTTTATATCATCCAGTAACTATTAAGTACATATTTCCCACTAATGTATAAATAAATTATGCTATTCCTAATAATAAAATTCTACTCACATCCGTGAATCAAAATAACTATAGGGTATCTTAGCTTAGCTATTTTAAGAAATAAATACATCACCTACAAATGATCTTAATACTATGGTGTTTGGCCTCATCGTGGTACAAATTTTAATAACATTTTTTGTATTTAGGAATAGTTTTGGGAAACGTGTTCTGTAACTCAAATCAATCTGGAAACTTAAATTTTTACCACGTTATCAATCAGATATGTACGCAATAACTTGAATGTTAACATCTAAGTAATTTAACGGATGTGTTTTATTGGTGTGGAAAAGTTATTTTAAATGTACATGAAGCAAATGATCAATAGACGTGATTTATACAACCGTGAATTATTAGTTCGTAGAAGGTTTACAAATCACTGAAGCAATACATTTATTATGAACCGTGCTATATGTCATGTTGCCCTAATCTTTCTGAAACTCATAGTCTTTAACCGTTCTTACCATGTCAAGGCCATTCAACCACAGCTGTCATGGATGTTACAATGAAATAAAGTTTTAATCCATTTATAGGCTAATCATCCATTCATCAGCTGAAACCTGGTACAAAATCGCACATATAAAAAACTCTCTTATAAATTTGTTAACATCAGTACAACTACATACACCATAGTTTTTCCTCCTGTTCGCCACCCCTCTGTAAAAACCAATCGATTTCCGATATTACAGTACAATAATAATTTAAAACCACCACAGTCGGGCGTCCCATTTTTGGGTCGCTGACACCGTCAATGCAATTGTGATCGGTCTCTTCCGCTAGTTTGTTTTTCAATATTTTTTGCCTTTCATAATTTGACACGGCACGGTGGGGAATTCACTGATTAATTGAATAAAATATAGTGTGATGCCCTTTCCCCCTCGCCCCCCTCACCGTGCCACTAGCCGCAGCTTTAGCCCCCCGTGGGGACCGGGTTGCAATCTATCTATCGTTGTTCATTTGAATTAATTGCAACTTATAACCTATTCCATTCGCTTATTCCATAGATTTACCGTTTGAAACTGTTTGCTAATTTTATTATACTGTATGACTATTTAAAAAATGACAATCACTGCTTAATATACTAGATTAAAAATATGTTTACTAAAAAGTTTCAAGATTTATCTATTGCATTTTGGCTGAGTGCCCTTTTGTTGAAAACTCTGGAATTAATCTGTCAAGCAAATATATTAAAACATAAGTTGTTTTTTTTTTGTCAACACGCCTCAATTTTGTATTAGCGTTTGTATTTTGTAATTTTTAAAGAATCCGTAATTGTATTTGCTCCAGTGCAGTTGCGTTGGTGTGGTTGCAAAAACACAGTGAAATATCATATGAAAGCAGGGACTACTTTTTATCTTATCAATTAATTATGTCAGATGTCTCGTGCATTTAATTAATCACAAGAAACTAAGAGTCAGCCATTTAAAAGCCATAATAGTGGAATATGATTCATCTGTGACTATGTGATTTAAACTGTTCCAAGTTATGAAAGTAAATTTTCTTAGAAGTCTTTTATATTAACTAAGTCAGTTTTGTGGATGAAAGTCTTGGGCAAGCCTTATAACGTACTGCAGTATTTAAATAATTCTAAAATGTAGGGTATGTTTGATAAACTGGTAGGGCGATGGACTGTACGTTCGTAGGTTTGGGTCTCGGTGGTGTCATTTAAAATTATTTTATTCTTGTACTGAACCAGCCAACTCCTCCCTAGCTTTGCTTGATAAGTTCTCGAGGTCCACTAGATCAAATTCAAATTTAAAAGAGTCACCAACCTGTAAAATGGAAAATTACTGTTTGGTATCTCAATACAAATATTGTTTGCTTGGACGTTGGTGGTGACCAAATTATTTGTATTGTGTAGACTGAATCATCAGTTAATTTTATAAAGACCAGCCGACCCCTGTCATACCACGTAAAGGTGTTATGACAATATCCCCACAAGGGGTAAACCCTATAACCATCACAATAACCATACCCATCACAGCCACACCTAAGTATCCACAGTTACGTCCCCCATAACCCTTATGGTGTAAAAGGGATGTGAAAGACCGTCTCACTCCCCAAGATATTCCCGGGTTTATAATGATCCCCGAAAGAAAATGATTGTGCGCTACAAAGCCCTTCGTACTTAGGCCAAAGTGGGATCGAAATTCGAATTAAAAGCCTGGGAGGAGGTGGGGGCTTTAAAACCACCCAGGCTTGATGCATAATAGATGGACCTAAGCAGGAGCGCTACCGTCTAAACTGTAAGTAGCTGCCTCCCCTCTTCCACCCCTACCGACACTCGGGGTTGCTCACTGACTCACTAATTATTTCTTTTATTCAGAAAACAGCTGTTCTCGACCTATAGTGACCTGAATCACCTGTAGAACGTTTGTTTATGTGAGAGATCGTCTTGTATAGTGAGGGGGGACTTTGCAGAGAGTCTGTGTTCTCTTTAGAATAGTACAACAGTTCACAGTGAGTGATTTCATCCTGTACTAGAAGGGGTCAAATATTGTGAAGTGGGAGTGTTTTGCAATGTTGTGTGAGTAGGCTGGGAAAGTTGTTAAACATATTGTTGCGCTGACCAGCAGAAGGCTGTGGCTTTAAGTAGGTCGGTAAACTTGATCAGAGGGTCAGTTTTGTGGGTAGTTGTGTGGTGATTTGGATGACAGGGACCTGCTGTGGGAGCTGGAGCCCAAAGACTTTGGCCTTGGGTGCAGTAAGGATAATCAATGGGTTTCAAAATTTTTTATTCGAGTTTCTATTTCATACAACAATTGTTGACACAATTAAAGACTAATCTTTGCCTAACAATTTTTGTATGCGAGTGCTTGGTTAAATTTCCTGAACTACGTCACCCTAAGTAAAAATGTTGTTAGGGCCTCAAAGGAGCCATGAGGATTACCCACCATTACAACCCATTTTCATTCATACGCTGGAAAATAGTTACAGACGAATGTTTAAACATTTACTCACCTCAAACCAGGAGGTACCGAACCAATCCCAAAAAGTCATTGGCTTTTTATTGTTTGAAACTGAACCTAGATGTCATCATTGGGTTTGAATAAATTGTATAAGGAACCAGCTGACCTTACTCAGTATAACAGCTCCTAGGCAACGCTAATATTCCCCACGTGTTTAGGTTAAATGCTCCTTAGTAGTTTCCCTATCTCATAAAAGTGATCTCGAAATAGTAGGAAAGTCGGATGGCTGAAGAATGTTACAAGCGTGCATAAGCTTTTTTCACATTTTTATTGGTTGTGCTATTTTTAAATACGTTAATAATGAGATGATAAATTAAAATATTGATTGATATCTTATTTGCAGCCCTATTATGTTATCTAATTCACTATCCAAAAATCAAGGTTACAGTAATAGTCACAAATAAATTTATTGATATTTGAGATTAAAATATACAATAGTATTGCGAAGAAATGCAGTGCTATTCCGGGACAATTTGGGTACGGTACCTCATGCACAAATACCCACTTGCCTACCAAGAGGCTAGTTGACCTACTTATTAACCAAGAGACTGGTAGAAAAAGCCTACCGTACTAGTATTAATAACACTTGCATACCAAGGAACTCGTTTGTCTACATTACGAGAAAATTACTATAAACCTAATTACCGACCAATACTTGTAACCTACTTACTATAAAAAATAATTTAAATCTACTTACAAACCAAGAGACTTATTAACCTACTTACCAACCCAGAGACTTGTAGACCCCTCTTACAAACTAAGGCATGTATTTTATATATACATACACTACTAAAAGACAACCTTTTAAATGTGCATCTCAATAAAAAAGACTTTCCCTTCATAAACAAAGTCAAAGTACTTTATTTGAACAGTTTTAAACATTGTAAATATCCTCCGTAAAATTACATTCTATAAGAGTACTATTCGTTATAAAAAAGATCGAAAATCCCTTAAACAAATCCGTGATACCTTCGGTTACTAAAATAAGCACACTTCTTATTAACTTTAGTAAATGGAACCCAATGGATTCTGAAACGTACAAAACAAACTGCTGAGGGTAAATAAACGCAGTAATAAGGAAAATGTCGAGAATGAATAAGATGAGAGTGTATTCATTATTAACCCTGCAGCCGTGGTATAGCGGTATCTGTCCGTGGGGACCAGCCTTACTGTACAGTCGGGATATGTGCTGCGCTCACGGAATATCAATTAACTTACTGAATATTTTTATCGAACAAATCTGTTAACAT